AGCGGAACTAAGGAATAATAAAGCTGCAGCGAACAGTGGTGCGGGATTTATATAGGCACAGCCCAGGTAGCTTGCCAAAGGCACTCCGCAGTGCTTCGCTTGTAAAGTCAGTCATAACTAACCGTCCCCCTGAATTGCGTGCAGAATTGTCACAGCGTTTCCTGCTGCTTTACTACACCAAAATGATAAAATAGGAGGCGGCAGAGTAACACTTGCTGCTCTAGGTGCTCTGCCATCTAAGCAGTGATTGCATCTGCCTCCGCACACTCGAAATGAGGGATGCTCTCCGCCGACCGGTGGCACGGGCGGTGATGTTCGGCTGCTGTCCTGCCTGTTCGTTAGCGTCACCCAGGGGCGCATCATCTCATGCAAAGAACACGCCCAAGCTAAAGCAAAGCTCCTTGTTTTCTGTACATTGTCAAGCCTTTGCTACTGGTCTGACTGATGCCTCCCAGGTGCTTACGTGTAGTTAATTACATCTTTATTTCCCTATAATTTGGAGTCTGAACTGCCAGATTAGAAGGGAACGCGTAGTCGGGAATTTATCCATTAGCTCCAAAGCCAGATCTTCCTGTAACAACTGTGCTTCTTGCAAGCTTTTCTCTGCGTGTGAATGCAGAATTGCCTTTGCTGTTTTCTCTCTTTCATGCACTCAGGACTGTTTTCAATACCAGAGAAAAAGAGGAGCGCTCTTCTCAGCACAGGGGGAGTTGTCACGCCTACAAACTAAAGGATGCAGTCCCAAAAGTTCATAGCCTCAGGTTCTGAAAGATAGTCAAAAACTGTGTCTACAGTATTAGGCTTCTCTAAATGCAGCTGTTGAAAAAGAAAGGTGTTTCTGGCCAAGATGCTACTAGTTAGTATTCTCACGGTAGGAGAGCGTTAGACTGACTGGGTGAGTGACAATAAACGAAGGTGGTTTCTCCTCTTCTGCTCTCCTTCCTGCGCCCCAAAGGAACGAAGGAGAAAGTGGCATCTTCCATCCATCATTATTACTAAGACAGGCTGGAAAACACTCTTCAGCTCCAGCCACAGGAGTGTCTCAAAGCATCTGTGGGTGGCGAATGCACTCACTTAACCATGACAAAAGCAAATTGCGAATAACGTGCTTCGGGTTTACAGGCTCAACCTGAACTGGAAGTAAAAAAAAAAAAACACTTTCAAGTTTTACTTCCTTTGGGCATGCGTTGGGGTTATTTTCCAGCTCAAAAGGTAAAGTGGAGCAACTACGCAGAAGACCTAGAAAAGCAGTTAGTTCCCTGATGACCGTAGCTGGAGATCATTTGGGGGGGGAGTTGCCCATAAATATTGTAATTTTCAGTGAATACTTTGGTGAATAATTTTGTTTCAGCTTCTGAGCTTTAACATTGCAAGACAGACAAAACCTCCCTTTGTACCCCCCCAAAAAACTGTAGCTTCCCAAGGAATATCGTAAAATAATTACAAATGCGAATGAAAGCAGTATTGTCTTCCAGAATTTCCCCACAGCCTGAAACAACGGTTCTGAGAGGCACAAATGGGATGTTGAATGCTGAAGTTTTAATGTGATATTTAAAAGCTCAGTATTGCTAATTAACTTCAAATGCTCATTCTTTTAGCGAAATTTGCAGCCAGCGTGCTTCCCCTGCATTCTCACACTGTGAATGTTTATGCTATCGAAAATGCCTCCAGCTAGCCAGACCTTCAGTCCCTCCCCGGCAACTCTTAGGGCAGTTGTGATGAGCAGGACAGGACTTTTCTTAAAGGTAACCTTTCCTGAAGGAAAATTTTGCTTTTCATTAAATAGAGGAAAAAATGGAGAGAATAGAGATGTATTTCAATTTTCCCCAATAGCAAAGATAACTGAATTTAAAGAGTAGTTATAAAAGTAGAAATTAATAAATCCCTGAGTTCATTTCTACAGTAAGAGAGCACAGGAGCTCTAAATCCATATGAACATGCCATTTTTAAAACAACTCTACAACTGTGACCCTTTATTGCCATTCCTCACCTCAAAAACCGTGCAGCCTGTGGTTGGTGTAAGGTGGCTGATGGCCGCTCCTGTAGCTGCTGTACTTGGAGCCTTTGGCCGCTGCCATGACAGCTGTCCCCAGGGGCTGCTCTTGGGGAGCGTATCGCTGCAGGCCTGCCATCGCCAGTCCCGCCTAGCCCCTTCCCTCACCAGCAGCCGGAGCGTTCCTGCTGGTGCCTTGGGCAGGTGTCCTGAAAGCCTCTTCCCCTCGGAGCAGGGAGGAATGGTCTTGGAGAAGGAGCGTGGAGCCCTGCCCACCATCGGTGCTGACTGACCCACCTCCGAGTGCCTCCTGCTGCTGGAGACCCCCTTCCCTCTCCTGGCTGCAGGCACGAGCTGGGGGATGTGCAGCCCTGTGAAGAAGCAAGGGGAACTGCAGTTCCCCACAAAATACCAAGAAGGAGGGGAGGAGTGGACGGATCAGAGGACAGCACCTGCAAGGCAAGGCTACTCCCTTCCACTGCAGTGCTGCGGGCAACAGCTGCGTAAGAGCTTGCGGTTGTTTGTGAGGTGGGGGTAAAAGGGAATGAGGCCACGAGCCACGGAGAAGGTGCTGATGGTGGTAAGGGGCTGGCCTGGAGGGAGGAGGGTAAAGAAGGTTTGGGATTTTATTTCCTTTCAGTTTAAGCAAGTGTGGGCAGGGGGACCGGAGGGTGTCACCCTGAAGAAGCTTAAGAACATGCTTCATGGACACCTTGCAAAACTTCCTGCGACACATCGCTGTTTCAGCAGACTTCATACGAATTTGCAGTACCGGTTCAAACAGGAGTCACATTCCTGCGGGGGCTGTGCTTATTCACCTTCGTAATGGGCGCGGTGCTTCCCCCAGTCGGGCTGTGGGCTGTGGTTTAAAGGCATTCGTTCCTGTGCACGGCCGTAGCCGGTGAGGAGAGAAGCAATCTCTGATTACGCAGGTTTGCAGGTTGACAGCAGGTGAGGCCATGGGCACAAACTTGAACACAGGAGGTTCCCTCTGAACATCAGGAAACACTTTTTCACTGTGAGGGTGACCGAGTGCTGGCACAGGTTGCCCAGGGAGATGGTGGAGTCTCCATCCTTGGGAGATACTCGGAAGCCTTCTGGACGCAGGCAACTGGCTCTAGGTGGCCCTGCTCGCACAGAGGGTTGGAGCAGATGACCTCCAGAGGTCCCTTCCCACCTCAACTGTCCTGTGATACCCTAAAGTTCAAAGCATGGCTTCAAGTACCCCATTTGGCACTCGGCAGTCAAACGAGCAGATCAGCCGGGGTTGGTACATCTGCAGCTGGCAGACCACCGCTGGCAGGGGAATCGGGCAGTAACGGTGAATATTTCTGTTTGACCAACAGCCAGACACGCATTTCTGACCTGCTATTTAGAAATACTACTTATGGATTGCAAGACAGGAGTTTCTTAAGATTTTTGTTTCTTCCCTGTTGGCGACAGCACAGTTCTAGTTATTAGAGTCAACTTAAAAATAAGAGGATAAAAATAATGAGGATAACAAATGTAAGTTTGAAGGCTTAAGAAGGTTTTAGCTGCATTTAGCATGAAGAAATTGAGACCTTTACTGGATAGCTATGGTATTTATCTGTCCCTTTGCCTAGTTACTTATTGCCCTCAGCAGAGGTCAGATAAGAGCCCAGGTCTCCCAGGCTACTTGATTGACTATAAGGCAACATTAATCCTCAAAGAAGAGAAAAAAGTGCAATTTACAGCTGTTAAAGTGAACTAACTGATATCATGATGCAATCAGTATCATTGAGGGGCTTAGTGTGGAAGATGGAGTCTAGGGGCAATGTCAGAAGCCGCTGTTCTCTAACAGAGCTGTGATTTTAAGTGGGACACTGTGAAAAGCTGATCTCTAAAAAAGACTCCTGAATAGGACAGAGATGATTTTCCAGCCCACCTATCAAAGTTCCTGCGATTCCCCATGCAAAGCTGCCCTAACAAAGCAAATCAAATACGATTGTATGCAGACATACTGCTTCTTGCCAGCACTTTTCTTCTGAAATGAATTCAGCACAGCTGAATTTCAAAGTCTAGTAAAAAGTAACCAGCTTTGAATGTCATTAAAAAGTAGATCTGCTTCTGGTAGTTCAGCTTCCCTATGCCCACTAAAAAAAGCACCTGCACAAGCTGAACCTCAGGGCTCCAGATTAGCTGTAAAACTCGCTTCTCTATATTAATCCCACTATCAAAACATGAACAATACGTAGGTGTTGGTGGCTAATGCAGGGAGCTTTTCATGCTTCGCCATTTGGGGAGATCTTAGATAAGGGTTGGTTCATCGTGGGTGTTAAGGAGGCTGCACGTGCTTCCTCCTCCCCTGTTACTCCTGCGTGATGCTCCATCTGCTCCATCTCACTTGCTAGCGACCGGCTCCACAGCCCCCTTGCGCCCTGAGCCCTGATAAACCCAGCGTTGCTCCTGACGCCGTGTCAGAACACGCAGCAAGCAGCGTGACGAGGTTGCTCACATCGATAGACAAATGATGTATCGTCATACTTCAGCACTTGTCTAGAAAAACCACCTTTGCAGAGCCAGAGGATAACACAGTAATTATGCCAATTAAAACTTCTTTATCTCCTAAGGCTATTTTTCTTAGGTCATTAATGGTGATAGATTTATGATGAGCAGTAACTGTGGAGTGAGACCAGGACTTCGATAATAATTTCATAACAAATCTGAGTAGCAGAGTTTAGATAGCCATCTCCCTCTTTGGTAGGCATTGCGACAGAGTTTAAACAAAATTCTTCTGAGATAATGTTACTCTGTCTTCCTATGGCTTTCCACATTGTATAAGAAATTTGACAATTTTGGAGTGATGTTTGTTTTAAGTATTGGTAAATGCCCATGTGCTGAAGAGCTTGTGTTTCTGGTTACTATAGAGCAGAGGAACCAAAAGGAGGTGGGAGAAGGGTAAGGAGATGAGACAAGCGCAGGAGGGCCTGCGGTCTCGGTGTTAAGAGGCCGTGTGCGCTCCTCTGGCAACATCAAGTCTTGGCTAATGCTTGCGTTTTGCCTCCTACCCCTGGCTGCTCGGGGGAAGGTCTATGAGAGGCGTGAGCTGGCAGCAGCTATGAAGCACCTTGGACAGAATAACTTTTGGGGACACAGCCTGGGACCCTGTAAGTCTGCTCTCGTGACTTCCAGGGGGCACGCGGGGTGGGAATTTCCATCTATCGAGCTTTGTTAAAGCGAGCAGGTCCATGTGAATGCCAGAGCGTAGAGGTTAAGATCCCATCAGGTTAGTCCGTCTCTGCTGGCACAGACTGCAGGTATTTCTTCCACAGTCTAATAGAGCTGTGGTCATCAGGAAGCTTTCCCCAGAAGCAGCCTGTCTCATCATACCTCCCCCGTTCCTAATTGCGCTGCTTTTACTTGCTGCAGTTTCTTCCTCTGCCGGTCATCTGCCTGCGGTGGCTGCGCAGCTGGAGCGGGGCAGGCGGGTGAAGCTGCGGAGCAAGCAGGAGTGGGAAAGCCGAGCAAGGCAGGCGGCCGGGCAGAGGCACTGCTATGGGACCTAGAGACAAGGAGTGGCGGGCAGTGGCAACAGACCATTGTTAAACCCGTTTCATTCGGAGGGAAGCACGCACGGGCTCTGATCCAGGGCCTGGGGAGCAATCCATGTGTTGGCCATGGGATGTTCATGTTTCAAATGAGAATCACTGTCCCCATCCCTCCTCCTTCCTGCTGCCCTGACGTCAATAGGACAAAACAGGGCAGGCAAGTCATAAGGAGGGAAAGCCAAAGCCCTGAGCGTGGTCCCTCACCAAAACCTCTGCTCCTGCCTTGGTGAGCAGGTATTTGTGCAGCAAGAAGCTCCCCGGGAGCGTGCCTGGCGGCAGGAGCAAGGTGAGCAGATCTGTTTGGATGCGCCTGCAGTGGTTGCCCAAAGCACCCTCGGGGCCACCCGTGAGAGCAGCTCTGCCCGCTACGGCTAAAGACAGCTTCAAAGCCTGACAGGAGCTGCCACTGCAGAGCACACCCTGCCTGCCGCAGCCCACCCGCTAGTCCACGTCCCACGAGATGCGTGTGCAGCTGGGCCACCCGCACTCATCCGGGCCGGAACCAGCAAAGAAACAAGGTTATCTTTGGCAGGAATTATTTTTTTTGGCCATTCCCAGTGTCTGCATTTTCACCCTCAGGGCAGTAACAGTGGTGAGAAGGCCCCAACACTGCACTGGTTTCCTGAGTTGTGCTTCATTTCTGTCCAGGTGAAGGCCAGCATTGATTAAGTACGGTCAGAACCACTGCATAAATTGGATGTGGCAGTATTTTCCTCTGTTGTTTTTTGTGGATATGTATGTTGGGCTTGATTCGTGCTTCAGTATAGAGCGAGCAATGTACAGAAGCATACTGGAATTTATTTCCAAGAGGAGAAATCCCGCATTGGGTTTTCCAAGGACATTTTGAAGTTAAGACATGTTGCATGTGTTTTTCATATTTGGTTGGATTAAAGAATAAAAGGACTCCCCTTTTATTGGGCATATGCATTCCCTATACAACCATCTTTTTGCTTTTCTGCATCAGAATCACGGCTCTGACAGACCAACAGCCGCTGGTGGTGCCATGGTGGCGGGACCCCGAGGGCCAAGCACGTGCGCAATACCCCCTGCTCAGGTGAGCTCAGTTTCTGCAGGTGGTGCTGTGATGGCCCTCTCATATTCCAGCTGCAAATAGATTAGCAAAGGCTGGTTACAGCCCTGTATTTAAAAAACAAAGCAGAACAACATTCAAGCCCACCCTTCTCCCCTTCCAAAGGGAGATCTGCAGGGCAGTCATCACACATGGGAGGAAAAGGTTTCTTTACAGCAGGAACTGCATCATTCCCCTTTTTGTCCGGCTTAATGTTTCCAGAGTAAAGAGGTTTCCATAGAAGCTGTTTATTCATTAGAAGTTACACTAACCTCAGGAAATTTAGTTTTTCTTTGAAGACAGGGAGAGCCTGACCGCTTGCAAAACACTGGCCCGCGTGCCAGTCTTGCCAACTTGCTTCATTTTAACAAGAAGAGCTGAGCAGCACTGTCCACGTGAGATCTAGTTCACGCAAGGAGAAGGGTAGGGAATTTTTGCTTCCTGGGAGAGGGTTAGGCATGGTGTTCACCATCTTCTCATCTGCCAGGAGCCCCAACACACGCTTTGGGGGGCCACGGGAAGGGGAGCTCTGGAGAGCGGTTTGCAGGCAGGGTCTGGCTGCGGCTCCCCAGAGGAGTCCCCCAAGTTCCCCGGTCCATCGTAGGAACAGACAGAGCTGGGCTAACCGGAGGGTGCAGCTGGGGCACGGAGCAACCCTGCAAATCAGCAACTCCCTCAGACTCACCTCCTTCTGAAATGGAGAAATTAATTACCCTTGGGTCAGCACAGCCCCCGACGTGTGACCCTGCTTAGGGGCCACAGGGGCATCGCTCTGGAGTCACCAGCAGTCCAGAGAGGGCTGATGGGCTTATTCACAGGTACAGCACAAACCCACGTGAACACGGACCTCTGGCTTCATTCAGCCCAGCAGGCAGGCAGGCTCCCTGCCCCAAAGTGAATCAATAACGAAAAATAACATCAGATGCTCTTCAGGCCTGCCACTGCTGGTAATTAACATGGGTTTAAGAGCTGTATGTCTTCGGCTGCTGTTTGGAGTACCATGGGAAGCTGTCTGCCTTCCTACAAGAAGAAGGAAACATTTCAATCATATATTCTGTTATATTCAGCTGTGCTAGCAAGCAAGGTAAATGACAGGTCCTGCTAAGCCAACTCACTTTGATGAAGACAAGGACCACCGACACAAGTCGCTGACACCTAAGCAGCATGGAACGGTGTCAGTTAATTTTTAATACTTTGTTCACCCAAAGAACCATCAGGTTCACAGAGCAAACAATACAGCTGGAATCTCTCCTTCTCATGTCTTTTTATACTTTTTTTCATTACGGGTGTTACTTGCGTACAACTTTGAACCAGAGGCGTAACTTGTTAGCTTGCGGTGGTATATCCCTCTTGCTGTACTGCAGCACAACTGAATAGTTACCTACCAAGACAACCAACTGACAATGCAGTTATCTACCCATGGGCAAAGGAGCTTGGTTGCAGATTAACCATAAAACGGTGGCAGAAACTAGTTTGTTGTCACCCTAGTAGCCTCATTCTATATTTTAAATTTATCTTGCAAAGATAAATGCATGAAACACAGCATCCTCCTGCAGCCTAGTTTATTTTGCCTCATTTATGGACTTGATTCACTGGGTTTATTCTGCTTGTATTCTGGTAACTGAAAGTTGCCAGAGGGAAGCTCTTTGCTTTTCCTCAGAAACTAGGAGAGGAACAGAGAAAATTGCCACACATCTCTGGCTTTTGGTTCTTTTTGTCTAGAAGACAAGATGATGTCTTATCAAAGAAGGCGATATCCTATGTATGCCAGAGATGTACCAAGATTTCTGGAGCAGTCAAGCCATAGACTGAGTATTTTGAAGTTCAGAGCAGCTGCGCAACTTTTAGTATGCTTGCCACCTTCCTTTTCCCCCTTTTTTGCGTGTTGTGTATGCTTTTCCCTCCCATTGCATGTCTTGCCAGCAGGTCCCGCGCCCTCGCTGGGACTGCGCCGCGCAGGCCGCCTCGTGAACCCGGCCCCGCGCGAGTCCTTGGGAACGGCTCGCCATCAAACCGGTGAACGCCGATGCACGCTCGCTAAGGGGGGGTGTGGAGACTATCAAAGCAAAAAATATGAAAAGAAGAAAAAATATTGACTGCTTCCTTTTTTAAGCACTACTGAGCTCGGACAGAAGAGCCTCCCTCACCGGCGCGCAGGGGGCTGTCAGCGGCGGGAAGGGTCTGGGCGCCTGGTGGGTGAAGACGAGGACGCTGCGCTGGCAGCACCCGGCCGCCAAGAGCGGGAGCACCGCTTTAAGACGCCCAAGCTTAGCGAGCAGCAGCACCCCGCAGCCCTCTTCCCCGTGTCCGTTTCAGCCCGCAGGAGCGATGAGGCAGCGGACGACAGCTCCGCGCCCGCCATCTTCTC